TGTACCTGAGTTGAGGTTGGAGCTTTTGAGTTATTAAGTAAGAATCAAGTTCGATGCATAAGAATCAAAGGACAATGATATTGTTTCATATTGTTATGTTGATAATATTATTTGTTAAATTCTAATTTTGCATTTTGGAATTGGGATATTATTTGCTAAATTAGCTTAGTATTGTGGGTTTTTTTTCATCCACTTTTTTTTTTCATAATTTATTTTTTTCAATTTGACGGATAGACCTATAAAAAATAATTTATTTTCGTGGTCAGGGGTAGAGCTAACACATGACGAGGTGGCGCGATCATGCATGCTAACTCCGTTGGAGTTGAATTTTCAGTGGAGTTTGAGAAGCTGTCGACGCTACGGACAGTTTTGAAGAAAGAGTCACCGAGGAAGACAATCCAGAGAGGAAGAAAGTAAAATGTTTAATTTTGTTAGGCCATTTTTATTTAAAGTTGGGCTTTTCATTTTTCAATTGAATTTGGGCACGTAAAAAAAAAAAATCTAATACAAATTATACATTTGCATCGACAAAATCACTAAAAAATCAAAATAACCCCCAACCCCACACTCAAGTCTCAACCCTTGCCTCCAATCGCAACGTGACTCCCTTGGCTGCTACAGCAGCTTGTATCGACAATGGCTAGTCGTCCTCCGACCCCTTTGCCTTCAATTCTGTCGCCTTCTACCGACAAAACTCTAGGTGAGTCAGCAACTATTTTTTTTAGGTTAGTTTTTGTTGTTTTAAGTATTTAATGCTTTAATAATTTATGAGATATGACTTATGAGTATTGAATTTTTATCTATGTGTTATATGAGAATTTGAGAATATATCAACTGGGAATTATGATATTAAAAATTAATTTGAGTATTGTGAAATGTGATTATGTGATTTGTGAAAATTGAAAATGAGAAATTGGGGAATTTACAATTTGTGATGAATTGGTGTTGGGAATTGAAATTTGAAACTTTAATTATATGTTAAAATAATATTAATTCTAATATAGATTATGAAATTATTTTTTTAATCGATGTGCCAACCTAGTTCTTGTAGTGGTGCATCTAATCCCATAACTACTTCTATTCGAGCAAAGGATTTATTGAGCATTAATAATACAAAGATGTCTCAGGTATCATTTATTTTATATTATTTCTGATTGTATTATATTGTAATTTGATATAAATATATGATTTTTACGTTTTAGTGTATTTACATATAGATAGAATAATTTTTAATATTATTTAATTTGATATTCATAAATGACATCGCTATACGGTAATTGACTATTGATGGTCAAGGATAGCCCTAGTTGGATCGAAGTCCTGAATTTGCCTCTATTTGTGGTTATAAACCGTCCAAATCGAACCGAATCAAACTGACCTACTTGGTTATGGTATGGCCAAAAAATTGGTGGTTCAATGATGGTTTTGAACAAACCAATCCTGAACCGAACCGTTGCCAATCTTAATCCACAATCCGCTCAAGTGTTGAAAGCCTATTTTTAAAGGAAAGTGGTTTAGGTAAAAAAAAAAAAAAAACAAAAACAAAAAAACAAAAACAAAGAAGTAAAAATCCACATGTTGAGTGCAATTTGTGTTGAAAATTTGAGCTAGTTTTAGATTCACTTAGATACAGTGAGGAACCAACCCAAAAGAAGAGTATGCTGATTTTTATTTAATATGAATTCGTGTGTTAGCTCCCATTAAATTAAAATTCATTTTTTCACTTCTTCTTATCAACCACACATTTTTTAATGAAATAATATTACATGTAGATCTAAAAAATGAGGAAATTATAGAAAATCAAGTACTAAAACTTTCAAATTCAAAATTCAGGGGTGAAATTTATTTATGAAAAAATCAGGTATTATATATAATTAACCCACTCAATTCAATTAAAAACCCTAATCACTTTCCCTCTCTCTTCATTTCACTTTCACTCTCCATCTTCCTCTCGTCACTGACTCCTTCTCTTCATCTCCCTGACTCCATCTCATGTCTCTTCTCCGTTAAACGTCGCTACATCGGAGCATGTCGTTGCTGGAGTACCCATCGCTGGTGCTATTGTAATGAAGAAGCACCACGCCGTTGCAATGTTCTCTTCGCGAATCACTACAAGCTGAGGTAGTGAAATGAAATCACGAAGCAGATCTACCACTACGATGGTGAAATGAAATCGTCGGAACACTGTAGCAACCCACGCGAAGTCGAAGTAGTTTGGGTTGGTGGCTATTTTGTAGGTTTGGACGGTGTTTTGTGAGATGGTGGTGATAGTGATTTTATGGTGATAGATCTGGTGGTTTGGGTGGGGTTTAGATGGTGTTTTGTGTGCTGATGGTGATAGTGTTTGTGTGGTAGATGTTTTGTGCTGGTATGTGACTACTAATTGACGTATGTAATCAATCATTTAGTTATCTGTGACCAATTGTTTAAGTGTGACCTAAGAATTTGACAATCTGTTACTAATTAATTTGACTTTGAAATAATATGAGACCTGTAAATTTTGGATCTGTGATATTGAAATAATTTGTGACCTATAAAATTTTAGATTTGTGACCTCAAAATAATCCGTGACCAATTAATTTGATGATATGTGACCAGAAAATAAATCTGGGACCTATAATTATGAATTTGTGACCATTAATCGTATAGTTGTGACTTTATTATATTTAATTAATAAATATTTTCAATTAATTGAATTGGTGTAAACAATACACATGAACTATGAATTTTTCCCAAAAAATATCCTTTGTTTTTAACCTCTCAATTTTCAAATAATTTACTATTCCCTTCATTATAATTTGAAATAATGAAGCCCTAACATGGGCTTAATTTCCGATATGTGTATTTTACATGCTTATCTAGAACTTTAAAATATTTTGATTGTGACACTTTGTATTGTATTTGATGTTTTTAGGAGAATCTCTAAAGGGTTTTGCTGTTTGTGAAAAACAGTCAGAAGAGGTGATCGAAATGATGTGGAATTAAAATATAGAATGAAAAAGTTGATTTTGTTTTAAATTCACAAATGATAGAGTGTCATGTGACATTATGTAAGCATTGATGTGCACGTAACATTGTCCAACTCTAAATTTTAAGATGATTGATGCTTAAGGAAAGAAGTTTCAGCATAAAACGATTGAAACAAGCCAAACAAGGAATTTATGACCAAAGTGTGAGGAAATTAGAGCATAAAGTATAGTACAAAGACCTCCAAAATAAAAATAATATAACAAAGATAATTGAATTTGTAGTTAAAAAAAAAAATGATCACAGTTCGAAGTTATGAATAAAAATTAATGCACATTCACAATCCTGATTTCCTATTTCCAATGGACTGGATAAAAAAAAATTTCGTTGACGTGACAAGAGAATCTTAATTATAGTTCTTTGAAATGGTTATATATTCAGAGAACCACAACTAAGGTTAGCAATGAGTATTTTATCCTATCAACTAGGGGACACACAATCAATTTTATGCACTTAGGTCACTAAAATTGGGAAAAATTGAAGGTTGCAACCTCTTCAAATTCCATTTCAGTTTGAGATTTTGATTTTTTGACTTAAAATTGTGAAAATTTTGTACTTTCAATGCACGACTTCTAAGTCTGGTAATCTGTTGATAAAAATTAATGAAATATGTGGTTAAAAAGTTATGGACCCCATGAAATATGTGATTAAAATTTATTGTTAACTTTAATGTAAATCAAAATATAAATTTTAATTATCACCAAATAGAGGTTATTGGGAGCAAAATTACAAGATTTTTTTCGAGGCTTAGACAATTTTATTTTACTTTTTATGAAGGGGCAATATATAATCTTGCAATTTAAGATTGAGGGCTACCCTTTTTTTAAAAAAAAAAATAATAAAATTATCCAGTTTATGTATTCATTATTTATCTTGTATTTTTGTAATTTAAACATTATAATAGGCTAAACTTTTTGTTGGGAGGTTTTTGATGAAACATTGTTCATTCTTTAATTCAATAAATTACTTATTTTTTTATTTAAATTATTGTTGGTTGATTGGTTACAATTGGAATAATTATCATACTATCATTTGACCAGTATTATGAGTATTTTTTGAATTTGTAATTATATCAAGAGTTATACACACAAACGAGCTTGGTGCCATAGTTATCGAAATCCACTTGAGCGTGGACTCAGACAAATCAGGGGATCATCAGTTCAATCAGTGGGTCGGTGCTAGATTGTAATTCTAATTAGAAATTATTTTTTCAAATAAAGAGTAATACTATTTGCAGTCACTCACTATCGCAGTCGTTTTACGTAGCATACATATGACAGTTAGTGATTTGATATATGAGGTAAAAAAAACTACCATATTAATACATTAAATCACAAAGAATTATGTAAAATGCCATTACTCAAAAGTAAAATATATATATATATATATATATTTTTTGCTCACATAACTTGTAATGGTTTACAAGTGTTATAGTGGTCAAAGTTTGAACCTTCCATGCAAGCTGCAAGGGTTTGAATCTCTCCCTGTGCAAATTTGAAATAAAACTTTTACAGGGACCAATTTCGTAAAAACCAGTTCACATTAAACCAATTCCAATTTCTATGAACATTAAACATTTGAGCGGCTTATTTTTTTAGTAAATTTTGAAATAATTTGATAAAGTGTGTGGTTGACAAGTTGTTGGATCCATAAAATATATAGCTCTCATTTGATAGCAATTTTTCACCCCAAAAATTAATTTTTTGATCGTTATTTCATTATTCGAATCGTCATTTTGACTTATTCACTCACAAGTAGGACTCACTTTTCTCTCTAACGATCAAAAAATCAATTCTCATAATCACTATTTGTTATGTGTGTATGTAACGTAGTAATTGTCTTTTTTTATGGCTATTCACTACTGCAAATTCTCAAATAAACTTCGTCTGGACAATGCCAGACTCTCCTTGCAGAGGAATGGACTGCATTCAAACTAAAGGAATAATTTCAGTCTTATTCTGTAAATATGGCAGGTATCGGCTTCGAAGGTCTTGCAGGAGACTTGTAACTATATTAAGAGCTTACACAGAGAGGTCGATGATCTGAGTAATCGACTATCGTCGCTTTTGGAGTCGACCGACAGCGATAGTGCTCAAGCAGCCATAATTAGAAGCTTGCTAATGTGATAGCAAACTTTAACGTCCCCGAATTTTGTTTCATTCTTGTCTAGGGTTTGGTCACTAGAATAGGCCAGCTTAAGAGTTTTGGGTTGGATCCTTGTTTTATCCTTGCGTATATGTATCATTTCAGGGACTTTGCATTGGCTAAGTCATATCTAATATAAGTATAAACTAAATGAACTTTTCTACCTATAATTAAGCTATAGCTTTGTTGTTTCCAGTTCCATACACATGATATGACTTTGCATTGAGCCACTGTTTGGTTTAAATTAATTGTTGATTTTTATTTTCAGTAATATTATTTGTAATCGCTCACTGTCGTAGTTGTCCTACTTGACATACATGTGACAGCTAGTGATTTAATACATTAATGTGGTAGTTTTTTATTGTCTTATGCATTAAATCGCTAACCACCACATGTTTGCTATGTAGGACGATTGAGTTAAGCCCCTGTTTGGGTTTCATTAATTTCAAAACGTATTTTTTTTTTCAACCAGATATTTTTCAATAAATAATATTATATGTAAACACAAAATTTTTCATTTTTTTAATCACACATTCTTCCAAAAACCACTTTTATAAAATACATTTTTTTTTCCCAAAAAGTAATCATAATGGAGCTCAAACAGGCTGAATGCATTGATAAAAATTTAAGTCAAAATTAACAATTAATTTTAACTATACTCTTAATATTGGACCAACAACTTTTATCAATTTTCAACCCCACATTTCGTAAAAGTTTATCAATATCTACCTAAAATATGATTTTTAGCAAAATAAAAAAATAAGTGATTTATCGATTTGCCATCGTACCTTGAGAAGTAGAAAAAAGTACAAATTTCATCCTAAATCTTTTAGAAATTCTTCGCGTGGGTATTTTATCACAATGCGGGATTTTTTCTTTTCCAGACAGTGAGAAAACGTTCTTATGCGAGCGATTTATCTCTGCAGAACATGTTTTCACTATTGTTTGGTGTCTATTTATTTCTTTTGATATTATAATGACATCAATTTTTGGGATGCGAAGAAAATCAAAATTCTAAGTCTGTTATCATTATTATACTTCGAGAAGTCCACTAAATATTTTTTGTATGACTTTGTATCACCCACAACATTATTTCGTCAGGCTATCCCTCGTTGATCTTGCCTTTTTAACGGGAGGTTCTGTTCTTTTCTCTTGGTCAAAAAGTCAAACTTTAGCAATTATCCTTTTTCATGGATTGAGGCTTTGAACTTTGGATTCTTTTCCAGGAAGCAAATATATTAATGCATGTAGTAACCTAGCCCTGTCCAAAATATATGGTAAACACCCATTTTACCAAAAGTATATTACAAAGCAAGAAGAAAAGATAAAACAAGTTTATGTTTGGCCCTCAACTTTTGTTGTTCAAAATCAAGTGTATGGATGAATTAAAAGAATGAAAAATAAAATAAAATAAGACAAAGGAAGATAGGCCATAAGAATGGCAAGTTTATGTTTGGCCCTCAACTTTTATTTAAAATTTGTTGTTCAAAATCAAGTGTACGGATGAATTAAAAAAACGAATAAAAAGGAGAGCTAGGCCATGAGAATGGCCTATGTGACCGCATAGGCCCTTAAGGCTCGCGGTTGCATAAGGCCATTTAGAGCCAATTGTGGCAACCAGAGCTATAATCATGCGACTGCATGGATATAGTCTATGTGGTCACATGTTTATAGAAACTAGCCGTTGGCCAAGTTCAATTCGAATTTTCTGGTGGTTTTCCTATGAATCTATGCACCTATTCTAATGAGTTGGAATTATTTCGTGTAGGGATGATTGAAAGCTATACATACATGATGTTGTTCTTCCCCAAAAGTATGAGGGATGATTGAAAGCTATATATACATGATGTTGTTCATCCCCAAAAGTATGAAAATTCATTATAAATTTTATCCAATTTCTGAAGAAAATTTTGTTCCTTACATAGTCAAATTCTCCATTGTTTTTCACTTGTTCATTAAGAAGACCACTTTTGCTTTTGGTGCTCTTCTTCAAGGTTTGATCAATCCTACAAACTGTTTGCCATTTTTAATCTTTAAAAGCAAATCGGGAAGAGGCAAATATCGTTTGAGGAAAATGATGTATTCTTCGTGTTTAAGCCTTTGCCGGATTTCCTCATTATCGTCTTCTTGCTTTTTCTATTTTCTACATTGCTGTATTTTCTTAACAATCTTAAACAATAGTTCTCATTTACTACGATGGAGATGGAATCTATGCTCGCTACTATCAAAATGATGAATCAAGACTTAGGCGCCGTTTGATTCCTATTTTTATCAAAATACATTTTTCTCTCTCTTCTTTTTAACTACACATTCTTTATCAAAATAATATTACACGTCAACTAAAAATTTTTCCTTATTTTTCATCCATATATTCTTCATCAATCTACTACTCTAAAATTCATTTTTTTCATAAAAATGGGAATCAAACACCCTTTTAGTATGTTTGGACAGATTTGATGGTGCTAACTTTACAAGATGGCAAGAGAAACTAAAATTCCTCCTAACGGCATTAAAGATCTTCTACACACTTAATCCAAAATTGGAGTCAATTCCCGATGCAACGGACAAGGATACTAATGAAGTCCATGCCAAAAGAAAGAAACAAGAAGAAGACGAATTAATATGTCGTGGACACATCCTAAATATGTTATCGGATCGACTTTATGATCTCTACTCCAACACCACATGAGTAAAAGAGATCTAGTACGCATTTGGAAGTAAATATAAAACTGAGGAGGAAGGCACCAAAAAGTTTCAAATTTCTAAATATTTTTATTTCAAGTTTCTGGATAATATTCTCTTATTACTTCAAGTGCATGAATTACAAATAATTGTAAATAAATTGAAAGCGGTGAAGATTGAACTTTTCGAAACCTTTCAAGTGCGAGCAATTATTGTCAAACTCCCGGGATTTTGGAAAGGATATAGGATAAAGATTCTTTACAATTTTGAAGACTTTTCAAAAACACCTTCGTATAGACAAAGAGTCAAGGGCAAGAGATAAGACAGAAAGTTCTTATGATGGCTCTTCGAAAGCCAATACGGTGGATAATGTGGACAACTTCAACAAATACAAATCAAAGGGAAATATCTTAGTCCTAAAATAGATCAAGGGAAGTTCAATAACAAATCCAAGGGACCTTGATATATTTGTGGAAAATCAAGATACTATGTTAGAGATTGCAGGCATAGGAAACAACAAAAGAAGGAACTACAAATGAATTCTATTGATGAGATAGTGGTATGACACCATGCTACAATCCACATCGGCTTCGAAGGTCTTGCAGGAGACTTGTAACTATATTAAGAGCTTACACAGAGAGGTCGATGATCTGAGTAATCGACTATCGACGCTTTTGGAGTCGACCGACAGCGATAGTGCTCAAGCAGCCATAATTAGAAGCTTGCTAATGTGATAGCAAACCTTAACGTCCCCGAATTTTGTTTCATTCTTGTCTAGGGTTTGGTCACTAGAATAGGCCAGCTTAAGAGTTTTGGGTTGGATCCTTGTTTTATCCTAGCGTATATGTATCATTTCAGGGACTTTGCATTGGCTAAGTCATATCTAATATAAGTATAAACTAAATGAACTTTTCTACCTATAATTAAGCTATAGCTTTGTTGTTTCCAGTTCCATACACATGATATGACTTTGCATTGAGCCACTGTTTGGTTTAGTTAAGCCCCTGTTTGGGTTTCATTAATTTCAAAACGTATTTTTTTTTTCAACCAGATATTTTTCAATAAATAATATTATATGCAAACACAAAATTTTTCATTTTTTTAATCACACATTCTTCCAAAAACCACTTTTATAAAATACATTTTTTTTCCCAAAAAGTAATCATAATGGAGCTCAAACAGGCTGAATGCATTGATAAAAATTTAAGTCAAAATTAACAATTAATTTTAACTATACTCTTAATATTGGACCAACAACTTTTATCAATTTTCAACCCCACATTTCGTAAAAGTTTATCAATATCTACCTAAAATATGATTTTTAGCAAAATAAAAAAATAAGTGATTTATCGATTTGCCATCGTACCTTGAGAAGTAGAAAAAAGTACAAATTTCATCCTAAATCTTTTAGAAATTCTTCGCGTGGGTATTTTATCACAATGCGGGATTTTTTCTTTTCCAGACAGTGAGAAAACGTTCTTATGCGAGCGATTTATCTCTGCAGAACATGTTTTCACTATTGTTTGGTGTCTATTTATTTCTTTTGATATTATAATGACATCAATTTTTGGGATGCGAAGAAAATCAAAATTCTAAGTCTGTTATCATTATTATACTTCGAGAAGTCCACTAAATATTTTTTGTATGACTTTGTATCACCCACAACATTATTTCGTCAGGCTATCCCTCGTTGATCTTGCCTTTTTAACGGGAGGTTCTGTTCTTTTCTCTTGGTCAAAAAGTCAAACTTTAGCAATTATCCTTTTTCATGGATTGAGGCTTTGAACTTTGGATTCTTTTCCAGGAAGCAAATATATTAATGCATGTAGTAACCTAGCCCTGTCCAAAATATATGGTAAACACCCATTTTACCAAAAGTATATTACAAAGCAAGAAGAAAAGATAAAACAAGTTTATGTTTGGCCCTCAACTTTTGTTGTTCAAAATCAAGTGTATGGATGAATTAAAAGAATGAAAAATAAAATAAAATAAGACAAAGGAAGATAGGCCATAAGAATGGCAAGTTTATGTTTGGCCCTCAACTTTTGTTGTTCAAAATCAAGTGTATGGATGAATTAAAAGAATGAAAAATAAAATAAAATAAGACAAAGGAAGATAGGCCATAAGAATGGCAAGTTTATGTTTGGCCCTCAACTTTTATTTAAAATTTGTTGTTCAAAATCAAGTGTACGGATGAATTAAAAAAACGAATAAAAAGGAGAGCTAGGCCATGAGAATGGCCTATGTGACCGCATAGGCCCTTAAGGCTCGCGGTTGCATAAGGCCATTTAGAGCCAATTGTGGCAACCAGAGCTATAATCATGCGACTGCATGGATATAGTCTATGTGGTCACATGTTTATAGAAACTAGCCGTTGGCCAAGTTCAATTCGAATTTTCTGGTGGTTTTCCTATGAATCTATGCACCTATTCTAATGAGTTGGAATTATTTCGTGTAGGGATGATTGAAAGCTATAC